AGGGCGTAAGACTCAACACTGAGGCCTACATCAAGTGCCTTGAGGAGTTTGTACTGACCTTGGTCAAGAGGGTAGATGCTGGAAAACCTTATGTCTGGGAAGTGAATATATGTAAAAATAAGATATCAGTGTTATTTTTCATTTTGCGTAATTTAAACGACAATTCATCCATCGTACCCTCTATGTATCATAAGTATCATTAGAGATAACTTGCAAATTTCACCCCAACATCGGTTAGCTAATACAACTTTTATTGTCAAAAATGACTTAAGAAAAAATGACATGCATATATATATATATATATATATATATATATATATATATATATATATATATATATATATATATATATATATATATATATATATTCCCGAGTTATTTTCTTTTTTTTTGAATTTGTAGGTTTGATGAATTGATCGTATTTACGATTCCAATGGAATAAATTATGACCATGAAATATTAGTGTTTAAGCCTTTTTATTATATATATATATATATTGCCTACCGAACGCTCCTTTGTGGCCGAGTCGGTTAAGGCACGTCAGCGTAAATGACGGTTCCGTATAGGATGCAGGTTCGAATCCTGTCAAAGGACGAATATTTTCTATGAAAATTTCTCGGACATTCAGGTCGGTAAATGTTATTTAATACTGTTTATTACAAACAGAGCATTTACTTAAATACTTGTATCTATAAAAAGAATGTTAAACATAAAAATGTCTTTAATAAATTGTCGGACTTTGTCCAATTCTTAATGTATGACGTCATATATATATATATATATATAGGGTGACTAAAAAGGAACTCCCTATTTTATGTATGATGGACTCTCCGTCTAACTATAATTTTTACAAGACAGGAGAGTCCATCATACATAAAATTTCTGTGACTCATAATGAGAAAGGGAGGCTTGGAAAATCTGATACTCACAGGGCGGATAGAGGGAGTTACTTTTCAATCACCTTGTATATACATATGAGGGGCTGTAATGAGTCTAATTTTAGAATGTAACAATCTGAGAAAAATTATTATTGAGGAAAGAAGACAACGAACGGGATTCAAGGAAACGGATGACGATCCACATTGTATTTAAATTTTTGAAGATCGAATTTGACGGGAAAGCAAAACGCCGGAAGTGAGTTGCACAGGCGTGAATTGCGAGAGAAGGAAATGTTAGCGTAGAACTTACGACTACACCTAGCAGTTTCAACAGTAAAATGGTGAACCCTAGCAGGACAATTTCGTACTGTATGTGAGCAACGACGGGATTTTGGAGAAAATGGAAACAAAGAGGAAACGTATAGTTAATATCAGGGAGAGGCAGCTGAAATTTCTGTGACTCATAATGAGAAAGGGAGGCTTGGAAAATCTGATACTCACAGGGCGGATAGAGGGAGAGAGAGACAGGGGAAAGCAACGCGTGACATAATGGGTTTGAGCAAGTGAATGGCGGGACAGGATCTGAGACAAATAACAAAAAGAAAAATTAAGATCTAAAAGGGACTGGAGGATGTGGAGGGCTATTATCGCCTACGTCCTGAAGAGAGACGGCACATAAAAGGAACAGAAGTACCAGAAAGGAGAAAGCACACCAGAACAATTCTTATGAAAATATTTATAGAAAAGGGCACAGGGAAGTTACGCTACTTGCGATGGGAAAGTGACTGAAGCTGAGATGCCAGGTCAGAACCAATAACATTGCAGATTATGTCAAGAACGTCTAAATACATAACTGAACCACATGTGGAACTAATAATTTGTTCAAAATACTGATTGTTAATAGTAATATTCGACGTTTCCCTATAAGGAAACATTTGATGTTAATTGACCGAACAGACAGTACTGTTTTCGGTTGAAATATATGAATTCTTTCTCTTAAAACACTTTTTTTTTAAGAAAATAAGTTTCTCAAAACTAGTAGTGTTGGGGCGCACCCACCTTCTAACTAGTAATGGACTGGTCCCTCTTATATAAGTCAGCTCTGGAGAGAGAGTGAGAGAGCGTCAGGGTGAGCAGTGCAGATAAGCTTACCCGGTACATACCGTTGGACTATAGACTTTGGATATTGTTTCGTACTAACCAACCTTCGTTCTACTAATCACTCTATTGTTAATTGCTTTTTATGAATATACCAGTATTTTCCTCTACAACTGTGTTTGTCTTGATTCATACACCGACACGCGGGAAACTCACAACATCTCAACAAGTAGCTGTTATCGCTCTTTCCAGTATTGATATTTTTTGGGGGGAGGGGTCCGAACCTTTTATATTAACATCTTGATTATGTTGTTATTTTCTCCATTATCATAACGTATTGCTTATATATAAATTGTTTTAATAACATTTAGAAATTGTCACTGCTCTCGATATTTTCTGGTGATTTGCATTACAGAAGAAATGAAAAAAAATTGATTTAATTGACGACGAGCGATGGAAACCAAAATCAGAAACTGAAGCTGTTATTGATTTTTTTTAGATTAAGCCGCGGGAAAACTACGATCTTATGTAAAATGTCTATCATGAGGACTGCCCTTCGTATGCGATGGCTTAACATTGAGCGGCCGAATGTCATCGGGGAAGAAAATGCCTTGATGCCGGACCACATTCAGGATAGCCTCGGGAAACAGACTTATAAAAGTATTGGACGTAAAACAAAATAAAGCTAAAACAAATGTTTTTACGGCTGCCATGCCAGTAATGTTGGGATCAAAACTACAGAAACTTCTCTCGAGTAGATAGATAGATAGATAGATAGATAGATAGATAGATAGATATGAACAGGCTGAAATAGATAGATAGATAGATAGATAGATAGATAGATAGATAGATAGATAGATAGATAGATAGATAGATAGATATGAACAGGCTGAAATAGATAGATAGATAGATAGATAGATAGATAGATAGATAGATAGATAGATATGAACAGACTGAGATAGATAGATAGATAGATAGATAGATAGATAGATAGATAGATAGATAGATGATGGATATGAACAGACGGAGATAGATAGACGGATAGATAGATAGATAGATAGATAGATAGATAGATGGATAGATATGACATGAACAGAGATAGATAGATAGATAGATGGATAGATAGATGGATAGATAGATAGATAGATATGAACAGACATAGATAGATAGATAGATAGATAGATAGATAGATAGATAGATAGATAGATAGATAATGAATGGTATGAGATAGATAGATAGATATGAACAGACATAGATAGATAGATAGATAGATAGATAGATAGATAGATAGATAGATAGATATGAACAGGCTGAAATAGATAGATAGATAGATAGATAGATAGATAGATAGATAGATAGATAGATAGATAGATAGATAGATATGAACAGACCGAGACAGATAGATAGATAGATAGATAGATAGATAGATATGAACAGAATAATAAACTAGTCTTAACAATAGTTTGAATTGCGACTGACAACGAAAGATTTTTTCTCCTCCATGGCTACAAGATTTCTCTGTATTCGGTCTGACATTTGTATTCCATAGGTTGGAATCTTTTTTTCTTGAAATTCTGTAAAAAATGTAGACTATGAAATCAAATTTGAGTTGTTTTTTTTTTCTTTTAATAACAAATAAAAAACACCACTTTGACAAAGTTGTTCAGAATTCCTATTTTTTTCCTCTCTACTGGTGAGTGTGGTACCAGATGATGGTAAGTGCGACATAGAAACTCAAATGCGTATCGTAGTAGCGAAAGATATCTTTCAGAAACTCAGCAATTAAAAATTAAATGATTTGAGAAATTGTTCTTCGAAAATCCTTTCTGTAAAAGTGCTTGACTGCTATGCCATAAAATATTTTTAAATTGTACGAATTGGCGAAGGTGGGGGGAGAAAATAGTTATTTACTAATATAACTCCTACTAATTAACCCAAAGCTGGTGGTAGAAGAGGTGGATGTATAGCTTTCCCAATAGTATTGGCGAAAATGAATATAAATAACCCGACGGGAATTAGAAATCGGTTCTCGGATTTCTCACTCCGAGACGTCTTCCAGAATTCTGTGCCCAGACATAGGTCTTCCAGTAGCCACCACCTCCTCGAGGCACTTGATGTAGGCCACTGTGTTGAGTCTGGGACCCTGTGGAACGATGGAAGGCAGGCATAAAGTCGCCATCACTAGTGATCACTCCAAACACCTTCCTAATGACTATTAGACTCATTCAACTCTTTCCGAATCGTATGCACTGACCTCAAATTGACACGGAAACACTCTCAAATGTCTGTATTGGAACTCCCGACGCGGATGGCAAGTAGTACAGCATGCTGTTTCCAAAATTCTGTGGAATTGAATTGCGTCAGAGTGCTCTTTTTCTCTACCTCGACAATACTGTGCAGTCGACAAAATCGAAAACAAAAAACGCGCATGCGCGAAATTGAAAATTACCCATTGCACCCTGTACACACACATACACACAAACACACATATATATATATATATATATATATATATATATATATATATATATATATACAGGGTGCATTGGGTAAATTTATATTATGTGTTGATTAGGATGAAGTATCTACTAAGGAGTTTTATATATATATATATATATATATATATATATATATATATATATATATATATATATTCAATTTAATTAGAAAACTGACAACGTTAAAGGTTCATTGATTATATTTTATTTCTCTAGGTAGGTAGTATTTACCTGATTCGTCAGATCACATTTCCATGGATGAAAAAATGGTTTTAAATTTACGTATTGTTTTTATACATTATGTATATATATATATATATATATATATATATATATATATATATATATATATATATATATATATTATTTTTATAATATATTATTTTTATACACTTTTATTATAATTTTATTTTTATGGTTATTTTATTTCATTATCTTTTTTATTTATTATTTTATTTTTATAATATATTATTTTTATACATTTATATATATATATATATGTATAAACATAAAAAATGTCTTATATATATATATATATGTGTGTGTGTGTGTGTGTGTGTGTGTGTGCGTGCGTGCGTGTACTTTTCTTATCATATTTTGTATATTTAAGATTTCACCTCAATATCGTTTTAACAACTGAAGAACTTCTCGTCGAACATGTTTTTCAAGATGGATGTAGATACACAGATTTGGTTCGACAGACTTTTGCTGAAAAATTTTCAGATACACCTATTCCACATCGCAATAGAGTTCGTAACCGTGTTGATAAATTTCGGGAAACAGGATCAGTAGACGATGCTAATCTTTGTGGAAGGCCAGCAAAACTATCGGAGGAAAAACTGATGGTTATTCCTGACTGTATGTAGCAGAATCCAAGACAATCCTTACGAAATTTAGCGCAACAGCAAGTAATAAGTCTTGGAAGTGCTTGTAAAGCCGTCGGACAAAAATTAAAACTCCTCCCATACAAAATAATGGTGAGAAATTGATAGCAGTGTTCAGAAACAGAATAAGAATGATCCAAACTTGATGCTAAATTTCAACATTGTTTATAATTTTCAATTATATTCTCCTTCTGTACTCTATATTGATTCAAAAAACTGTAAACAAAATTCCTTCATTTCATTAAAAGTGTTGAATCACTGATCGCGGAGATAGTGTGTCATTGAGCAGAATAGGCCATAGTCACCCGGTGCAACATCAGGAAAGAATGGTGGATGTGGAAGAATCTTAACACCGTCCATCTGTTTGAACTTCTCCTTCGTCAACCTGGCAGTGTGTGGTCCCGCATTGTCTTGCTGAAACAAAGCCCTACCTCGATTAACCAAATCAGGATACTTTCGTTTATCATACACGCGGTCTAACTGCTGGCAATACAATTTAGCGTTGATGACGCGACCGTGTGGAACACCAGACAAAGATCAAAATTTGTTGTTGTTTTCTTCTCGCTTACTGAGTCAGGACATTCTGGCCAACCTACTATATTAACTGTGAAAATTTTTACTTTTTATATGTTTCACCGATCAGCTGGCTATACTAAGTGAATCTAATTTATTCAGAACTTCCCATGCTAATATTGCAATTAAATGACTTGAGGAATGTGCTAGAAGTGTGAAAATCGCTTTTATTTCCCATTTCCCAAATACTTTCGATCTTCTTCCAGGATCATCTTCAGGAGTAATACAAACTGTGTGTTGCTATCCATTACTGTAATGTTTTCTTTTCTTTCTTTTTTTTGCTCTTAAATGCAACAGTTCTCCCCTGAACAACACACAGTTTTGTATTACTACTTGCATCCCTGAAAATGATCTCAAAAAAAGATCGAAATTATTTGGGAAATGGCGATTTTTACTACTATAGCACATTTCTCACATCATTTAATTGCAATGCACAGAAAGGTTATTCCTGGGTATGAACGGATTTTATTAAAAGTAAGCAGACATAATGTCTGTAATTTATTTAATCAGGCACACACACACACACACGCATATATATATATATATATATATATATATATATATATATATATATATATATATATAATGTGTGTGCGCGTGTGTGTGTGTCTGATTATCAGATATATCATACATATATATGCCTGATTGATATATGTCTGATTGATATATATATATATATATATATATATATATATATATATATATATATATATATATTATAAATTAATTGATTTAAAATATGTTTTTTCCGCTACACAGTTCTAACCATGTTTCAAAAATAATATTATTATATTAATGCTCTGTAAATTTACATTGAGCACTATTTTGTAAAAATAAAAATATCTATAAGAACACCGGATTATATATCTTACTGTTCTTTCTTTTTATTTAAATATATATATATATATATATATATATATATATATATTGCTCACACAGACACATTCACCGATGTGAGAGACGTCATTAAGGCATGAGCAACCGCTAGACCCTATTCACTGTTTTGTCAATTACAAAAAGTTGATGGAAAATATCCTGTTGTCGAAATAGACGTCAGATAGCAAATAATTAACACGCAACCTTTATACACAACGACTTAACGCATCATGCTTCAGCTAAACTGATTTGGTTCTATTTTTTTTTGTTTTTGTTTCTTTCTTCATTTTCTGCTTTCGTTTTGTTCACGTATCTTCTTTTTTTTTTGTTCCTTTCTCCCGTTTTTTTTTTAAATAAAAAAATTACCGTGCACAAATCATTTGCTCCCAGTTACCCATTGCTAAATAAAGATATATTCTTTATACCAAGAAATCAGAGATGAAGGGTAAAAAAAACAAAAAACTTTTCAATTTTACTTCGGTTCTTTGCTTTCCTTTTCTTCTCCTTTTATCATAACAGAGTTGTCCGTTAAGCACTCGTATTTACCATTCTCCCTTAACTGTATTCTTAGTCTATAAATATTACTTGACTTTTGGTCAAGGAATATAGAAGATTGATCATCAAGATGTCTGATTTGGTGTTCAAAACGCAGATCGAGTGAAAAAAATCGAAAATTGGAAAAATGCAATAAAAAAAAAACATTAAAAAAATTCAATTTGGTTTAAAAAAATTATTTTCTTGCTGTCTATACAAGATGTCACAAAAATTTACTCAGATTTTTACTTTTTTGTCTCTGAATATTTATAAATATTTTTATAAGACAATCATTACGAAAGTTGACGCAGCAGCAAGATATTCGTCTTGGAAGGGCTCAGAAGGCCATCAGACAAAAATTAAAACTCTTCCCATACAAAATAATGCCGAGCAATTGTTAGCGGTGTTCAGAAACAAAATAATAATGATCCAAGCTTGTATTGCTGCTAAATTTCAATATTGTTTATAATTTTCAATTATATTCCCCTCCTATATACTATATTGAAACATGTGTGTTAATAAAAATATTAGTTCACAGTGACTTTCCGAAAACCCCGTGTATATATATATATATATATATATATATATATATATATTAGGTAGGACAGAGAGTTATGACCGACTTAAAAGCGGAAAGAAAGCACGAAAATTTTATGGAGTAACACCAACATTTCTTCTTCAAAATAAAGTCCATCATTTCTGACGATCTTCTGACAGCATCCGAATCTGTCCCAAATACCAGCCCGTCGGGCTTGAATAAAAGAATCTGTAAACAAGCTTCCTTCACTTCATCCAAAGTGTTGAATCGCTGGTCGCGTGGGAAGTGTCCCATTTGACGGAATAGGCCATAGTCAGCATCGGTGGATGTGGAAGAATCTCAACTCTGTCCATCTGTTTGAACTACAAACTCTTCCCGTGCAAAATTCATTTAATATTTAATCTAAACAGTTAATTTTCTATGAAATCAATAAGCATCAATCAGTAATTTTAACCATTGCAGTTGGGACTATTTCAGAAGAAACTGGAACTGCATATACACATTTATACTTATTCATGATGGCGCTCAATGCCACCGATCCAAGTTCAATCAGATTTTTTTTTCACAGGATCACAGGTGACATTTGAATCACAGGTATTTGAACTCGTCGGAGAACCGCTCATATCTGAATCCAATTGAAAATTCATGGGAAATTCTCAAAAACAAAGTTGCAGCAAAACAACCTTCAATAAGCAATGAGAGAGGCTATAAAAGAACTCTGGACAAAAGAGATTTTGATTGTCTGCTGTAACAATTTCATTGTATGCCCCTCTTAATCTTAAGTAGGCGCCCCATGAGAGGGGGTGTCAGTGATGCAATTTGACTTGCTTCATCAGGGAGTTTCGGGTCTTTCAACACCATACTCCCCATCACCAAATCGACCAAATCAGAGGAGATCAATCCCTGATTCCCCCTCACTATCAAACGCTAACAGCTACTCTGGCCTTTTAATGAATTGGACGAAGAAAGATCACATTTTCCGCACACCCGATTGGCTGTTTGTAACAACTAATGCGCTGTGCGAACTATCTTTTAAATGGTCCACGGTGGGGAATGGCTTCTTTTTTTCCGGTGGATAGCAGTTTCAATGGAAAACCGAGGAGGTAATCTTAATGTTCCTAAATTTAACCTTTTTTCCTAACTATTGTATAGTGTCTTACTCTAAATATTTGCCGTTTTTATTTTATTTGTGCCTTTTTTTTTCTTTTCTTTTTTTTTTTGGAGTAATGAAAAGCAAAGGATGTTTAGCACAATATTGACACCTGAACTATTTTGGCTTGAAATAAATAGAGAATATCGTCATGTACAAAACTGTATGTAAAATTGAATCAGTCTACCAAAGTTTACTTTATACAGTGTTTTTAACTAAGGAAAATTACAAGTTGTTGTAGCATACATATGAACGATAATGGGTATATCCCCATTCACATAAATACAGTAGTAAATACTGTATGTTGGTCCACAGTTAAAGATCCATTGTGGAATTCACTTGACTCACTTCTAGCAGCTGACTACTACTTCTACGCGCCGCTGGTGAATCTTATATGTGTTGTTCTTGTTCTAAATATTATCGTTTATCACCAACCTTCGTTTGATTATTCTATTCAGTAAACTTCCCTAGGTTACAAAACAAGGTGATTTTAAACTTTTCTTAATGACTATCAGCTTATGTCCGCCGACAATAAATCCTGATATCAAACAAATAAACAAATATGGACACGGGATGGACATCAGCTTGAATATAAATGTCATCCTAAATAGAACAATCTGATTTGCCCCTTGTGTCATGAAAACACGGAGTTTAAAAGCCTTTCTAGTTTTAAGCTCATAGCAAAGCCTATGAGCGTGCAACCAACAGCATCAAATACGTTGATGATTATCCACGTAATATATCTACAGACATATATATATATATATATATATATATATATATATATATATATATATATATATATATATATAATCACTCACCACTAGCACGACTCGGAGCATGCACGAAACGTAATAGTGAGTTTATACTCAGCAAATGAAGATTGCGTCGTGAATGAAACTCCACGTCGTGCTACCAGTGAGGGATAATATGCATATTTATTAATATTTTCTTAATAGCTCTCTTATTTTAGATTGAGCACTGTTTTATTAACACCAGTAATATATGTGCGATATATATATATATATATATATATATATATATATATAATTGTTTTTTAAAAAATATATAATCATCGTAACACCGGAATTCCCATGTTTCAAAACTGAAACTTAAGTTCAAATTCAATTATAAAAATTAAATTTAAAATATTAAGTTTCGTTCCATTATCAAGCGATGCTAGGAACTGCTTGATAATCGAACGGGACTTTCTATTTTAAGTTTAATTTTCATTATTGAATTTGAATTGAAGTTTCAGTTTTGAAACCTGGGATATCTGGTGTTGCGATGATTATATATTTAAAAAAAAACAATTATAATATTATGCTCTATGGCTGTATTGAGCACTGTTTTTTTTTTAAATAAAAATAAATGCTAAGAACTCTGAATTATAAATTTCATTTTTCTTTCCTATTATTTTAAGATATATATATATATATATATATATATATATATATATATATATATATATATATATATATATAGAACTAGATGTGAGTTAGATAGAAACAGATACTTAAAATCGGAAAGAGAAAATTGAATCTTCTGGCACAAATTATGCGTTTCACTGCATTTTGCTGCCTTTTGAATACCATGAGCAATGAAGCTCTAAAGAAAATGGAAACTAGAAAGACACTCGTAAAATAGGAAACAAACAGTTGAAATGTCTGGAAAACTTTATGAGAAAGGTTTGGAAAAATGAATATCCACAAGAGTTACTGAACGAATGATGTCTACCGGGAAACAGCGAACAAGTCATCTTAAGAGTTTGTCTTCTTAAGTGGCCGATAATGCTTAGGGGTACTTTTCTTAGGGGTACGAAAGTTGTAATAATCAGACAGATATTTATGTCGAAAGATTTATTCAATAGAAATGTTTTGCCTTCTACGTGGATATTAGACTAACAACGTTCTACAGCCGAATTGAAAGAATCGAAATAAATCTTTCACTATTTTATCGTTTTTACTGTCTTCATGGCGGCCTTGAACAAACCGATTGTTTCTTGCCTTTAGAGAAAAAGTGCTTATTTTGTAAATGTTATTCCGCCATTTTTATTTGTTTCTCTTCCGTAAAACCTCAGAAGTAGTTGAAATTTGAATTGTTCTGAATGAATTACTAGTCAAAAATAACTTGACAAGCTGCAAAAGATAAGCGATGCGGTAAGATGGACGAAATAGAATCTGGATATATGAAGTGTCGGTTCAAAGATGAGCTAAAACGGAAGATATTTTAGTACCCGATCAGATTTTAACCGCTACCGTTTAGTGGGCCAAATCTAATAAAAGTAAAACCGTGAAACATGAGAAAATTGAAGAAATAGGTATCTAAAAAATAGAAAGGCGATAGAGAAAAATAATGAATTGAAATCAGTAAAAAATTGAAATAGATGGAAAATAAAATAAAACAGAATAAAATCAAAAAAGAAAAAAAACACGTTTAAAAATAAAAGACGATTGATAGCAAAAAAAGTGCAGAGAAAACGAGAAATATATAAAAAAAAGTCGATTTGATATGAAATGAAAAAAATAAGGAGAAAAGAGAGAAGAAATATGAAGGAAAGAGAGATGAAAATAAGATGGAAAGAGAGATGACAGATAAGAAGGAAAGAGAGACGAAAAATTAAAAGCAAAGAGAGATGAAAATAAAAAGGAAAGCGAGATTAAAAAATAAGAAGGAAAGAGAGATGAAACCTAAGGAGGAAAGAGTAATGAAAAATAAGAAAGAAAAGAGAGATGCAAAATAAGAAAGAAAAGAGAGATGAAAAAAGAAGGTAAGAGAGACGAATGCGTGAGAAATGATATGGCGAAATTAATTACAAAAAGAAAAGTAAAGTTCTGGAATCAAAAGAACAATAAATATAAAATTTAAACAATGAATTCAAAGAAATTAGAAAAGTCTAATGTATAAAATGATAGAAAATTTTTATAAAGTCAGCAAAAAGAAAAGAGAGAAAGATGATTAAAAGAAAATTGTCAGAAGAATGGTATAATGGTTTAATGGAAGATAAACAAATAAAAGAATTAAGGAAAAGACGGAAATGCAGGCGAAAAAGAAGCAGATGAATAAAGAAAAACAAACAAAAAAGAAACTAGAAGAAAGCCTAAACTTTGGAAAGAAAGAAAGAAACAAAGAAACAAAGAAAGAAAGAAACAAAGAAACAAAAAAAGGAAGTATTGAAAAAAAAAGGATTGGTAGGATTAAAAGAAAGAAAGAAAGAAAGAAAGAAAGAAAGAAAGAAAGAAAGAAAGAAAGGTAAACAGTAAAAGAAGAAAGACAAGGAAGTAGAGAATAAAAGAAAGACAGAGGTAAGGAGTAAAAAGAAAGAAAGAAAGAAAGAAAGAAAGAAAGAAAGAAAGAAAGAAAAGAAAGAAAGAAAGGTAAACAGTAAAAGAAGAAAGACAAGGAAGTAGAGAATAAAGAAAGACAGAGGTGGTATGAGTAAAAGAAAGAAAGAAAGAAAGAAAGAAAGAAAGAAAGAAAGAAAGAAAGAAAGGTAAACAGTAAAAGAAGAAAGACAAGGAAGTAGAGAATAAAGAAAGACAGAGGTGGTATGAGTAAAAGAAAGTAAAAGAAAGAAAGAAAGAAAGAAAGAAAGAAAGAAAGAAAGAAAGAAAGGCAAGGAAGTAGCAAAAAAATATAGAAAGATTTGGTATGATTAAAAGAAAGAATAGGAAGCTGTAAAAGAAAGAAAGAGAAGTCGCGAAAGAAAGAAAGAGAGAAAGAAAGAAAGAAAGGAAGAAAATTAAACGCAAGATTGGAAAAGGAAACATGTAAATAACCCAAAGAGCTTAATGTGGAACTAAGGAAAATCTATTGACAAGATACGGACAAGAAGTATGCAAACCAACTGTCGTGTCTCGGTAGAACAAAAAGAAAAAAAAAAAAAAAGGTCCCCGCTCTGTCCCTGACCCTTTGGCATCACTTCTTTCGAACTATTGATTTTATGTCGTCACAATAATAGCATTGACACTGGGAACTCGATTTAGGAGCGCGTAAGAATTGAATATCTGAAGGATTTAATGGCAGGTTGACAGACGACCACTCAACACACAAATTGGAGAATTTCTTTGGACTTTGAAGGAATGACAAATAACCCAAGCCCCGAAATGACGAATACCCCAAGCCTTCAAATGACGAATACCGAATGCTCCAAATCAAAAACATAGTTGCTCGTAACTCAGAAAAAAAAAACAAAGGTGCGCATTGAATTATTCATAATTTCCCTCTTTGGTGGAATTCTAGATATGCTTTCTCTTTATATATATATATATATATATATATGAGATAACGGTATATATTTTTATATATCAAGAACAATATTGGGGAAATTACATCACAAAGTGGAAAAAACTTTACTTTGTAGTAGGATTAGGGAGTAATAACACCATACGAAAATATACACTTTCCTCTTTACTAAGTGAGTGACAAAGAAAACTCTCCCTCTCTCTCTGTCTGTCTGTCTGTCCCTCTTTCTCTCTCTCCCTCTCTCTCTATATATATATATATATATATATATATATATATATATATATATATATATATTTCCTTTCCTTTCTTTCTTATATTCTTCCTATTGTCGGTTACGGACATAAACCCGGACTTAGTTTATATGGGTAAACGTCATAAAAAAAATCAACCAATGACAACACGTCCCACCAAAAATCAAACGGGAAACACAGATGTGTCAGCCCCAATAAAAAGAAGAAAACTACGTACGAGATTAGAGATGCCGCAGTGGAGAGAAACTTGATTCGAGGTAGCAGTTCGAGACGCTGGGGTTGGTGACTCATCGGCTGCAAGTTTGACCTGACGTACAACTCCAGAATAGGAAGAAGAAGAAAGGATGAATGCAACGAATTAATTTCTGTCCACCAGAAGGAACACAACAACCCTGTATGAACTCTCAAATCACAAAAAAGAACTATAACGATAGTCAACCATTTTAAACACTTTAACCAAATGGAGTCAACAATAAATGGTGCTATAGACAATAAATTTGACCTTTACTTCATCTCTATATACCATAACTTCTTTCGTTTCTTTCTTTCCATCACTTTTATTTTAAGAAAACAATTCACTACTACATAAATGTCTAGCAAGTGCCTTCGAGAGATCATCTACAGTAAATCTGACCCATGGCTTGTACAATGTTTCACCTTTCCTGGCCGATCTTCTTATATTACAGTTTAGGATGAAGGACGAAACGTGCCACAAGTAATTTTTTTCACTTTGTTATATATATATATATATATATATATATATATATATATATATTAATTTCAGTAAAAGTTTGTCACTTAACTGGTTGATGCTACCTTCAACATCCCGACTCCAGAGTTTCGTAAGCGGACCTGTCCGTCCACTCTTCAAGGGTATCAGTAATTTACTTAGTAAATAAATGCCGGATTAAAATTATCAATATATATATATATATATATATATATATATATATATATAAATGCCGGATTAAAATTATCCATCAACTCTTTAGAAATATATATATATATATATATATATATATATACTTTTAGAAAATATATATATATATATATATATATAATATATTTCAAAGAGTTGATGGATAATTTTAATCCGGCATTTATATATATATATATATATATATATATATATATATATTGATATGTCCTGAAAGGGATATATTTGAACGAAGTAGCTAAGTGGTTTTGGCTACTATAACCAAGTAGAATACGGTAGCAGTAATCGACTGGTACGCATCGTAGTCACAGGTAAAAAGTGTAGATCAATGGCGTAGTCCAATGGGCATCGTTATAGACTTAGCTCTCAGACTAAGGCTCTGAATCTGTCGTACCTACACGTCCGTCGGTATTTATGACGGACATCAGCCAATCATATTCCAGTGAGGATGAACACAGGTGTACGTATATTCCATTATATCATATATATATATTGGAGAAAATAATTATATATATATATATATATATATATATATATATATATATATATATATATATATATTGGGAGAAAATAATCTTGGACTTAGTCCGTTGAAGTCCTAAAAGACGAAAACACGTTACAAAATTTTTTTTTCATTTTTGTACTATATTTTCCCTGATGTTGTACTTGATATAGAAAAATATATATCGTTATCTCATATATATATATATATATATATATATATATATATATATATATATATATATATATATATATATATAAATATTTAAATATATATATATATATATATATATATATATATATATATATATATATATATATAAATATTTAGGAATATATGTGTGTGTGTATGTGCATGGATTTATGTACATGATATCACATTCTGAGAGAAGAACAAGAACAAAAACAAGAAGAAATAAAAAAAAATGACTGGATGAATGAATGCAGTCAATGATGTTACAGGCTTTGACAAAAAAATCTTATCCGCTTTTCGAAATTGATGTCGATTTTGTAAACAATCAGTCGCTAGATCTTGTCGCTTGCCAGATCAATTCGTCATTCTAAATCGACCTTATCTACTTTTGGCGAGCAAGCCTAGAGGATGCTTTTGTCCTCCATTGATGTTACCTCATTTGCAGACGGGAAATGATTCCTTTTATTTGGATAGGCAGAAGAATACATTTACTTCAAATTCCACTGAGAAGAATAACATGAGCCTTCAAGTTCTATTGACAGACATGAAACAGAAGCATAAAAATTCATGAAAGCCTCTTCAACCGAATAAAATTATGTGTGGGCATTGATGAAAGCGGCTTCATCGGATCAGAAGTTCCAACTTCCATTAAAATGTTGCTGACCTAGTTAATTAGAAATTCCCTAATAGAAGATCAATTTCAACAATGCTTACATACAAGGTGGATTAATTACGACTGATTAGTGAGTTCAATCCCCACTGGACATCTGATACTTTCGGCCTTGTCCACATTTAATCTACGCTTAGAAAATCCCCATAAGAGGTGGATTCCAGAAGTTTTCAAAGAAGAGTCATTTATTAATTTCAAAAATGTATAAAATTCTATTCTTCTTCAAATCCTCTGGCTTTTATTGTACCGCTGCAGCCACTTCGTAAAGACATCTATTTTAGATGACTTTACGAAGTGGCATAGCGCTACACATTTTTTTATTATAATTCTGTGTACAGTTGCCACAAAAATTTCCAACTGCAGATGACACTGTACTGATAGCAGACACGGAAAAGAAATTACAAAATCTCCTACAGAAGATAGCGAGGGAGAGCGAGAAGTTGTCCAGTACTCAGCCTCATTCATCTTCTCAGTGTCTTCTAAATAACTGCCTCTGAGGTTCTCCTTCAGCTTGGGGAACAACCAAGTCACAGGGTGCAAGGAATGGACTGTAGGGAATGTGAGGAACAGTTTTGACACTCAGTCAAAGAGTCGGTTAACAAGATGGAATTGTGCATGGTCCTAGTGCAGGTACCACCACTCCCGAGTGGAAGAGCTCTGGCCATTTGCGACGAAATCGCTTCCCGAAACCCTTCAAAATTTCCACAAAGTACTCTTTATAGACCGTGGATGTAGATGATGTCCGTACTGTCGAAAAGGGGGATAATCATGTGTTACCTAGTAGATTCGCATTGCCTGATCTTCTTGGCTCTGGAGGAACCAAAATGCTTCTAATGTCTCTTGGTATCTGGATCAGTTGATACGGCTTTCGCTATAGGTTGCCAGAGATTCTACCCTTACATAAGCTAAATCATCTCTCTACTGCCACCAATGCGTCTTCCCTTCTGTTCGTCACCGAGCACCGTGATTTTCATGAATAATTCTGTGTACAGTTGCCACAAAAATTTCCAACTGTATGCTTATTGTCTTACCGGGATTTAGCATTAGAGGCCACAGTCTTAACAACATAAGATATGCAGATGACACAGAAGATAGCGAGGGAGAGCGAGAAGAAGGGACTAACTATAAACTACAAGAAGACGGAATGCATGGTCATCAGTAAAAGGATGAGCCCGAAATGCGATCTGAAGGTCGGAGGCACTAGAATTAAACAGACACGGAATTTTAAATATCTGGGAAGCGTTTTGACAGAGGATGGTAAGTGCGACACTGAGATCTGTAGACGTATTGGGATGGCCAAGGACGCATTTTAGAAGCTTAGCAGGGTATTGCTTGAGACAGGAGGATTTCTTATGTACCAAAGAAAAAATACTGAGTTGTTATGTGACATCTGTCCTTCTTTACGAATGTTGGACGATTTCCTCAAAGATGAACAAGAGACTCGAGGCGATGGACATGTGGTTCTACAGAAGGATGCTGAGGATATCATGGACCGAGTGTGTGAGCAACGATGAGGTCTTAGAGAGGATGCAAACAAGGTGGAGGCTTACACTTAACATCAGGAAGAGGCAGCTGAATTTCCAGGAACACATAATGAGGAAGGAGGGCCTGGAGAATCTGATACTCACGGGTTGAATAGAGGGAAAGAGAGACAAGGGGAAACAATGCGAGACATACCTAGCGGCCTTAAGCAACTGGATGACAGAACGTGGTCCTGGGAAAGTCACAGAGGGAAGGAATTTGTTGAGAGCTGCAAGGGATAGAGGGAGGTGGAGAGCCATGATCGCCTACGTCCTGAAAGGACATGGCACATAAAAAGAAAAGAAAGAAAATCACACGACGGTCATCCAGGAAATTTTCTCCAACAGTTCTGGTGTACTTACGTCGCTCACCCTTCCTTATTTTTCATCGTCTGTTACTTCCTCTGTACCGTTCTTGAACCTCTTGTGCCATCGAAAAACAGATTCCTGGCTCATAAAAGTTGATCGATATGCAGTCAGGTGCATTTCATAACTTTCTGTGACGTTTTTGTTCAGTTTTTACACAAAACTTTATTGTACAAGGAGCGAGCTTCCAACTTGGCTTCACCTCCCGGCCGTATTCTGCAAACTAGTCACCTGCGACAAGCAGTGTTTAGTAGGGTGCGTTCAAAGAGTTCTTACAGCCATCTCCTTCAATCTGGAATAACAAAATTTGGCAGTATGTATAGTAATAATATATTTGGACACCTCGAGGCGGTGTAATGGTTAGCAAGCTTGTCTCGCTAGAACAATTACCACTGAGTGGTGAGTTCGATCCTCACTGGGCGCCCTCTATTTTCGGCCTTGTGCCACATGTAAGCTACGCTTGGAAAGTCACTATCGAGCACCGCGAGGCGATGTAATATTTAGCAAGCTTGTCTCGCTAGAACATTTACGACGGAATAGTGAGTTCGATCGTCACTGGGTTCCCCATACTTTCGGCCTTGTCCACATCTAAGCTATGGTTGGAAAATTACTAGTAATAATATATTAAAATTATAATAATATGCCACTCCTAAAAATGTTTTAAAACTTCTAGAATCCACATCGTGTGTGTACTTACAAGCAAAAAATGGTGGATAAAATGGTGAATGTGAAAATTATTTTCAACCACACACAAAGTTTGAAAGCTGTCAAAAAAGCAAAAAACCGGAAGAGGATTCCACAAGCAAGAAGTGTCAAATGATTATAAACTATTAGAATAAAACTTACGCTTAAACTTACCAATTTCAACAATAAATGGATGCCAATTTAGTACTACGGTGAAATTCCTGAAATCGAGGTACCAGAACTCATCAAAATAATTACCATGAAAGTATTTATAAAAAGCACAGGGAAGCTACGTTATGGTGGTGGGAAAGCAACTGGAGCCAAGATGTCAAGTCAGGACCGATAACATTGCAGATTCTTATTTGGATTTATTTCTAAATAAATATAAGAAGCACCAGACAAAATGTAGCAGAATTATTTGATGCACGGGTGAATGTTAGACTTAGCCAAACCTCGCCAAGTCCTTTGAAATATTTAATGCTCACTCTTGAGATGTATTTGTTGTTTAGTGCCTCGCTGATTCTGTGAGCAATGGTAGTTAGAACATCAGCAGTGGATCGGGTAGATCGAAACCCGTACTGCTTGCCACTGAAGAAGTTGTTCCTAATTAGGTGATGAACAACCTTCTTGTTGATTATAGCCTCAATAAGCTTACTCATGGCACTAAGACTGATATGTCTATACCGAGAGAGAAGTGAGCGCTCACTGATGTTCTTACAAGCCACGCATACCCTTGACACATTCCACTGAATTGGGAAACATTTCTCCTTCAAGCAGTAGTTAAATAATTTCGGTATGATGGGGGATAGTTCCGAGTTAATATTCTTAAGAACAACCGCTAGGATTTTCTTAGGGTCAAGAATTTTGATATGTGTTGAGACTTCCCTGGCTGTAATGAAAAAAAATACTATTCTACATTATGTTCAGGGAAATGGGAGACGTCGTTTACTTAAAATACACTAATTTTGTATATAAGTAATTTTGTTTTGGGTTTACAAGTTTTAAGAGTTAGCAGTAATCTTGGCAAGTGACTCGATATAAATGTTCAATTTATATCAGCGGGAAAGTTTAACCTAGAAGGAGAAACGCATTACTCTTGTGAAGGTTAACATCACCCATACCGATGGAAGGCAAAAAAAGGCTTCTATAAGACCATTAAAATAGAGGTGTTTAGTTTTGAGGGCGTTAAAATTAACAAGTGATTTTTTGCTGCAGCTAACAACAGATTGATGGCCATTTTCGATCTCAGTTGCCAATTTGACGTTATGGAATTGACCAGACTTACTTTTAGAAGTCGGTGACTTTTTTTCATCATGGTATGCTCTTTTTGTTGCGAATTAGTGGAGGTACTTAATTAATATATATATATATATATATATATATATATATATATATATTTATGAATAAAAATGACAATAGGAAAACTGGTAATTGCTGACGCGTTTCGTCCAATGTGGACTTTATCAAGCAAAATATTTTGCTTTGATAAAGTCCATTGACGAAATGTCAGTAATACCAGTATTCTATTGTCATTTTTTATTCATAAATATATATATATATACACACATATATATACACACACATACACGCACATACACACACACATACATATATATATATATATATATATATATATATATATATATAATGAGTAAGAACAGTAAGATTTCTAATCCGGTATTCTTATTAATTATTTTTATTTTTAAAAAACAGTGCTCAATACAATTCTGTAGAGCCTGAACATTATAAATTTACTAATTAAAAATATGGTTCCACAGGAATTACCATGTTTCAAAAACAGAAACTAAACTAAGGTTTCGTGGCATCCACACTTTGTGAAGGGTCGAATACAGAGACCTGGTGCACTAAGTGTCTTAAGGTTCCCAAAGGACCCTCCGCAGGTTTTGAATTTAGAGTTGTCCTTCTCCTAGACCAGTTGCCATCCAAGGCTATAGAACCCAGTCTGTCCTGCTATTTACCCATGGCTGGAGGGAGAAGAAGAGGATTCACACCTTTCCCAAGTTGTATTAGCACGTAAGTGTCTGTAATTGATTCGACTGGAATTCGAACTCGGCTCTCAGATTCCTCAATCCAAGCCGCTAACCATTACGCCACCGTACCGTTTCATTCCATTCCGTTCCTCCCTCTCTCTCTCTCACACACTCTCTCTCTCTCCTCTCTCTCTCTCTCTATATATATATATATATATATATATATATATATATATATATATATATATATATATATA